CATCTGTTTCTGGAGATCCTATCTTGATAAGGAAAAAAAACATTTTCATGCAAAAAGTGTAAATGCATACAGAACGCATTGGGATCGGACTGCAATTGGATTGGCCAGACCATGTCTGAATTTGCATAATCATATCCGATCCCAATACGTGCAGAATCAAGATGATAACTTTTATTAATTTCAGGTCTAAATGCCAAGGCCTGTGGATCAGCATCCACATAATGTATCCAGATAAAGCTAACATGCTAGTACCAGGGTTAAATGTGGCCTGATCTCGTCGTCTTCTGGTCACTTCGAAATAATATTCTCAAAATCAAAAATCTTGAGTTTTCAAGCTAATATTATCATCAGATTTCTAGATATTCTGCACACGTGCAAGCAGCACAAGCAGTGGAATGAAAAATAGCCAATCTGATGATAGATGTGTTGAGCATTTGTGGCCCAGACGCACGGTGATGTATTCACTTAAAACAGAATTCTCTCATCACACATTCCCAAGATAAACAACTCTTCCTCAAGCCCAGTAAAAGCTGCATGCAGCAGCAGCAGCTATAGTCGTCCCTCGCCAAAGGTGATTTAAAATGAATGGCCATTGCATTGCTTGACTTGACCTGAGACATATTTGTTGGCGAGTCCGCCAACTGAGCCTTAATAATTTACATATTTAGATGTGATCACAATGCAGGCAGAGTTGAGATAAAGAGAACACTTATTTATCCCAGGTGTGCAAAAGCCCTTCAGAGGTCCATTTGTATAATATCCATGACTACAGTTTGCTAATTTTGTAATTTTTTGTTAATTTTACAAAGGACTTCTGCTGCACTGGCTGTCATGATATAAACAGACTAATAAGAACACCTGAAAAGTCATAAAAACTGCTTTGACTGTCCTTTCCCTGCTCTCTGCAACATGCTTATAAGCAGCAGTAAAGTTCCTGTGCCAGTCTGAAGGAGAGCTTAAACCTCTCAGCACATTAGCTCTGTCAGCGGGGGGGGGGGGCAGGATGACATGGAGAAAAACAGACACGCGGCGGATAAATGAGTCGAGCAGGCATAAAACAACACGACCATGTAAAAACACCCTGAATACCATTAGTGTTTATACGGCTCGTTTTCTGGCAGGTCTGCTCTCAAGCTAATTTTCACTACTGGAAAATAATTAGTTGTTGATTAAAGGTAAGGCCTTTAGATGAGACGGGGCCTCTCAAATGTAATTAGGTGTGAAAGCCCACAAAACTAAATCACTGTTTCTTTGTACTGCTAGTGGCAGTATTAGTAGGGGTGGTATTCATATTTGTAATACACTGTGACTCGGCTGGAAAACAGATTTTCATTCCTCCTCCATAGTTTGTAGTTTAAGCCAATTAGGAAAAGCCAATTTACTAAAAATCCGTACTTACATTGATATTTGAAAAATATTGATTGCCTCAATTGCTAATAGTGGGTTTTCTAATAAAATGTGCCAAGATCTAACGCACTTTAAATTCTGTGTGCACAATTATTTGTCTGAAAGCCAATTGAAAAATGATAATTTGTTGGTGACATCAACCTCAACAGTACTGTGATGTACATGTGCTGCTAATAATACGTTTCCTTGCTCAGCCGACTGACGTAGGGGAGTAAGACGCTCCGCACACTTGGCTTCTCTTAAATGTCATTCCTACTCCGTCAGCCAATCAAATCAAACTGAGAAGAAGGCCCGATGCTGCAGCGATTACCAGCCGGGAGAGAAAAACGATGCAGACTTCGTCTTCCGCCTCACTCTGCTCCATCTCCTTCTCCCCGTCTTGGCCCTAATCCACTTAGTTGGCTCTTCCTGAGCTTACAGCCTTTCCTTTATTCCATTATAAAGACCCACCGTACGACCTGCTGCTTATTTCATTAAAAAGGCCCAATCCATGACCCCACAGCTAATCCATAATGCAGACTACAGACAGACCTATAGCCCACTCCACAGTCCAGCAGGGCAGCTGACAGATGGGACAGAGGGAACAGGGATGGGGAGATGGAGGTCCAATGAATGAGGGGGAATTTGAGAGCTCCGCTTACGAGTGAAGCTTCCCGGTGAATAGGATTTCACTGATGTAAATGATGATAGAGCTGAGGCTTTGCTACTCTATCTTTGATTGCTGGAGATGGCTTTCCCATGGCCCATCTGTCCGCGATATGGAAATGTCCACATCTAAGGGTTGAATACAGCCTGTAAAGTGAGCATGAAGCCAGAGGCTTTGAAAACCCAAAACACCTTGGCTTAGAGGTGATATTGTAGTCAGTACTGTAGCTCATTACAGTCAACCCCGGGAGAACTTTGCAACACAAAGTGAGTGAGGCTGAATCGTATAATAACGTTCTATCGACTCTATCCCATTTGACTTTGCCTCCTTTCCCTCTGTTTGCCCTTCTCTGCTCTCTGCTCCACCGATGGCTGCCCTTTCACCCTAAATGCCCTCTCACAACTGGCTCAAGATCCAGTTTGCGGAGTGTTTTCATCGCGTCCACAAATCTAAATTTACAACCTCCCTCCTATCAAACTAAGCTTCCCTGCGTTTGCACTTAACGGCCTATCGGGTTACGTTTTTATTGATAAAGCAGCACTATTTAACCCTGAGCACCTGGCTTCCCGCATACCTGCGCCAGCTCTTTAGAGCCCAGCAAGTCACTCAGCGACGATGCAGCGTCGGATAAAAGAGACCCGTCCCACAGAGGTAACGTCTTACACTGGTTGATGAGAAAAAGGCTTTTTTTTCCCTTTTTGCTGTCTCTGTCCAGGATCAACGCAGGTCATTAAGAAGAGTTAACTAATTACTTTTAACTGGGTTCAGCAAGAGAGCCACAGCTAGAGGCCTGGGGACATACAATACGGCCAGGAAGTGACTACAACCCTCTCTCCATCGATAACGCCAGCATATCTCATTACCGGGGCGACCTGCGGTACACTGCCATTCGGTCTTGATCATATAAAACCCATTTCAGCGTGCCGTCCCTGCCGGAGCACCAGCGGAGTGGAATATTCATTATTCAAATTTTAAGCATTGGAAATCCCAATATGTTACTAAGGCCAGATGAGATGAGATGAAATGGCTTAGCCTTTTGTCCAGGGAACATTGACTAATCGTCTCGCTCCCCAAAATCAATTTCCCAGCCGTAAGCATCAGACACTCTTGATTGTACTGTACTGTTGAAGACCCCCCTCCACTATCACCTAATACTCCTGCTGGCTGCCCAGAATAACTTATTGATTGGTGATAATGTTACGGGAGGTGTGGGTGGCCAGGGCGGAAGACGGACTGGCCTCAGTCATCTCCACAGGGCTAAATTTGGGTCCTCTGTTACCAGATCCAGCACAAACTGACACTATCTCCAGCTGCCACCAGCCATTAGTGCTGCTCTCGGGGTGAGGAGAGGAATCAAGAATGTTTTCTGGAAGTATAAATATGAAGAGAAATGTTTTGGGAGCTCAACAGTGTTTCAAGCAAAGCGGCACAGCAGGGAATTGGAGACGGAAGATGAATTCTTATAGATGTGGTGCACTTGTGGACTACTAAATAAAGAAATAAGCACCAATATTTCTATACAGGCATGGTTGATTATGGAATGTGCTGGTTGCGGTGGAGCTTCTGGCGTGGTGATGGACTGCTCCCCCCTCCGGGGTATTGGGCAGGGCTCTCCCTCTCTCTGATTCTGTGCTGAGCCTGAAAAGTGGCTGTGATCAATACCTGCAGGCCCTTTTCACAGTGCTAGAGGGCTGTGTGTGTGTTTGTGTGTGCTGTGTCAGCATCCACTCAGGACTTCATCAAACAACCCCCATACCTCGTCTCCACACACAACACACAACAAGACGCCCACATGAGCCAACGCCCCTCAAAAAACTCACTCATTTTCACTTTCCCTCTTCTCACCCACCATCCCTATCACACACACACACACACAAATTCACACCTCCTTCCTTCTGTTCCAGGCCGTCCCAACACGGATGTTAAATACCATTCAAATGTCAGCTTCCCGTATTGATTGGAATGATAATTCTTAAAGGTAGGAGAGATGGCTTGTTGATGCTAAGCAGGCGCGTGGCGGCCCTGAGCATCCTTCACTGTCACAAAGTTGCCATGTAAGGGTTCCCGGGCTCCGCTGGCAGAATGTGGATGGCGGTTTACGTTAGACCACCGAGGCCATATGTTTCTGTCATTAATCATTGTCCTCTCGGGCCGGTGACAGGCAGACCAGGATTCATGTTGAGAGAGAGATGCGGTCGCTTTTAACGCCCTCTGATCAGAGAAGGTGTGTGCGAGTGTGTTTGCATGAGTGTCGGCGCGGACGGTTTGTTCATCACCAGTTGGTTCTCCTTTTGTACGTCATGTTTGAGTGTGAAAAAGGTTGTGCGATCCGCTATCTTTTGTTATTGATTAGTATTGGCTGGTGTCGTTTCAGCAGATACACATGAATAATGCTTTGCATTTTGAACTGGTATTATTTGGTCTTTTATGTGTAATTGAGCATTGTTTTAGGGATTATATTCAAGTGGTCAATCCACCCAATCTATAAAAAGACATACTTTCGACATGCAGTTACTGGTACAGTACCAACTGTAGCCATGCAGGGTTTCACTTATCTGTTCTCAGATAGCCAGCTGAGATATCTCCTGCTGCACTAGAGGAGCCATGCACTTCCATTGTAGCAGCAGAAATCCTGTTAGTGGCTCTCAAAGCTCTGGAAATTGACACCTGCAAACTGTAAATAGTTTTCATTGAATCTACTTCCTGCTGAAGAAATAGTCGCCGTAAAATCACTTTAACTTGTGGACCAGAATAAGCCTTACGGTGGGCAACGTTTTCTTTTCCTGACACTTTGTGTACATTTATATCATGTCACACTGCTGGGTCTAATAAGATTTTGGTCGCAATCTGTGTCGGATTGTGTGAGATCAATTCGAGGCATGTTGGAATGTATAATAGATATATGAAAATGTAAACACAAATGCATCAAGACAGCATTGACCCTCACCTGGCCGGTACCTCGATGTTGGAGATGGCGTAGAAGTACTTAAGCAGGTTGTCCCTCTGGACATAGGTGCCTCCGAGGGCGGGCCTGAGAAGCCTCATCCTCAGGTTGGTGAAGGTGAAGAAGTCCCTCAATCCCTTCATACTTTCCATGCGAGTGAACAGGCTGTCCATGTTCTGCAGCCGCGATCCTGCGAACACAGAAAAGCGCGCCCGCACCTCGAATTTCACATTCTTGTCATTCTTGGAGCCGACCCAGCGCGAGTACTGCTCGGTGCAGATGACCCGCGTGATGTTGGCGGGCGAGAGGTCGCTCATGCGTTTGGGCGGCATGTTGAAGGAGTCCATGCAGTCGTCAGCGTAGAACTGGTAGGGCTGCCATGAGCGTCCGTGGTCCATGGACTTATCCAGCACCATGATAGACGGACGGCCGTACTCGAAGGTGATCTGGATATCGTCTGTGAGCTCCAGACTCTTGTTCCAGGACATTGAGATGTTGGCCAGCAGGGGCTCTGGGTGCCGTCTCCATGTGACTGTCTGCCAGTAGGTGAGTAGGCTGTTGCGTTCTTTGTCCTGCATCAGCTGAGGAGGGTGGGCCAAGTCCGGGTTGGAGGCATCACATTCATCACTGCACAGGTATGGGTTCTCCTAAAAGAGATGATGACAGAGCAGGAATACATCCGTCAGGGTTTGAGTATTAATATAATATTATAGTGTTGTAATATGATGTATTGGTCTATTTCTCAGAGGCCATCACAGACTCGGGGACAGATTAAATTATCAACAGGCCTTTGGACAAAGTTAAGCTTTGGGCCTAAACTCTCAGTTCCACCTACTCTTTGAGCATTGTGTGTGTGTCCTGTTGCTTTTAAGTACGCATCAGGTACGGAGAACACAGAAGACTACACGGGGCAGTTTAATTACATTTTGCCCACAACTCCAGAAACCAGTACTACAATGCCGGAATATTAACAGTTCCCAATTTTGCTCGTTGTTAGTTAGTGGTAATTTTAGTAAAAATAATATGAACTGACATAATAAAAGTTGTAATGCCATTATTTCAGTTTATAATGTCCTTTGATGGTGCATATTCCCCCATCAAATAATTACATTTTTCTTTTTTTTTATGCCTTTTATTGCATAGTGATAGCGATAGTCAGTAAAGGGGGAAAGAGAAGGGACAACATGAAGCAAATGTTGGATTCCAAACCGGGCCGCTGCATTAACTCTCAATTTGTGAGAAAACAAAAGGTCTTGCCGCAAAATTGTATTTGTGTTACAATTTCTCCTCCCAGTCTTCCAGAAAAAGTATAGATCTTCCCCTTTTATGTGAGCAATTATCATACATCAGTACTAATTCAAAAGATGTGTACTTTTTCTGCTCCATGACTCCCCACAAAAAAACGTCCATATTGTTCCAACAAAGGATGGAGTGTTTCTAAATGAGGAGCGCCTTTAACTCCCCGCCAAGGCACCGAGGGACAGAGAGCTTAAAAGTAAACTTGGCAAACACCACAACAGGAAGTGTGAAGGTCAAGAGGATCGTGCATCGTCACTGTCTTTGCATAGACGGCAGAGTGCTGCTGCACATTTAACTCCAGAGAATTGATCCTCCTCTTCTAGTGATGCCAGGACCTTTAAGCCCCTCCTCAGAACGCAGAAGTCAACAGGATTGTTCGCACTCCTCACACAGAACCTCTTTCTAGCTGCACTGAGAATTGTCTTTCACTCTCTGTCAGGACATCTCAGGACTAATTTCATTATCAGCTTATTCAGATTAGCACATTTCCATGTTCCAAAACATGTCTACCTCCCGTGACCTTTATTGAGGGTTGTCACCAAACTTTGTGAAATTTCAAATCCGTCCTCTCAGATAACTTTCCCCACACTTTCCCCTCCACAGTTGCTGGGCTTGTCACATTGAGACGTTTGCAGACATCTCAGTGAAATTGATGTATCTTACTGTTGTAAGCCAGTTGTCTGACATCCACATCACCACAGGAGTTAAATATTTACACAAAGAAATCCCCAGAGATCCTCACAATCATCTCTCCTGGTGCTTAGTTTGCTCTGACGCCGTTTAGATTGTATCACATTCAGAAGGCTCATCCTGCCCTCAGGATGTACTAATTACACTGATGAGGATTTATTTTCTCAGATATTTAATCAGTCATTCATTGCATGGAAGGGATCACTATTTGTATTATTTGTTCAACTGTATTCACTTAATAACACACAGCCACTGGCTTATTTCATATACTTTACATTTGTGGCATCACTCGAAAAAAATCCAAGCCTCAAAACTGTCATTTCCATCATTGCTATGACGCAGTTTGACTGACTGATTTACAAAAAAAGAATCCAAAACTGTTTTCTTCTCTAAATACAATATATACATTTTATTTAGGTTAAGAATTAGATGCTGATGCCTGTGCAGTTCCCACTCTCCTGTGCTTCAGACCCCCTCTCCTGTTCTTTCTACACCAATAAAATGGTCACATTTTATAGCTGAAGTTATCCTTGTTTTATTTATTGGGAATCCAATATTCTTTCTAAATGTTGCTGCAATTTTAACACGCTCTTGATGGAGTGCAGAGTATGTCTTAAAATATCCTTCTTTTTTCTTCCACCTCCAACCTCTTCCTCTCTTTCTTCTCTGTTTTGTTCCTTTTATTATTTATTTTAGTTTTATTACTGCTTCTAATTGTGCTGTTAAAGACTGTGGCCAGCTCATCTTGAAATTCTGTTTGGTGCAGAAAAAAAAAAAAGATTTACTTCAATAGATGTTATAAATTAAAGTGTATGCTTCTACATAAATCGGTATGTCACTGACTGTGTCGAGCACTGAGCCCTTATTTATCAAACTTTTAAGAATTACACTCAAGAATGCTCAAAACAACTTGGGAGTAAAAAAGTGAATAATAAGACATTTCTTAAACGACGCACTCTTTACAGCAAAGAGTAATGGTAACCTTTAAGAGCAGCCCTCGGGTGATCACATGATTGATCACTCGGAGCAGGAATAGCCAATAAGAGACAAGGATTTACTTTACATCTGCCCCTTGCATTTTAGTCATTGTTAGTTATATTATTCTCCAAAAATATATGATTTTGTTCTTTTTATTTGTGTAAAATCCTTAATTAACAACAATCTAATATTTTTGTGAAATATTAATAAAGATGTGTGAACAAACACATTTTCAGACTGTTAATATGCAATTACAGTCATGTTGCTTCAGTTCCTGACTGATTTAAAAGACCTCTGGAGCTCTCTTGAATTCAACAGCATTTTAATGACCTAAGTTTGATGAAAAGCTTTTATTTTAAATGTACACAGAGTCCCTTTTATCTTTCTCTTAATTCCCAGGTTTGATATTTAGCCGTTAAAGATAAATACGGGCCCTGATGATAATACACTTGATTAATGTGCCTTTTCTTTAACTATGTCTGAAGATTTCTAAACATTAAACTCAAGGAACGTTCACAGACAGACACGTCTTAGTGGGCGAAAATCCTGGCAATGAAGAATGAAATGTTAAACACAGATTTGTTCTTACTCAGATTAGAGAGATGCAGAACATTCACTCACCTACTTTGCCATTTATCAAATCATGGCTATGACTGAAGATACACTGAGAACATGAATTACACAAATTGATGGAACACTAACGGAACGTAACGCTGCATCTGCTTTAAGCAGTCTTAGATCGCATAATGACTGTTTGGTGACATTTCCCCCAAAATCAATCTCTTGAGTAGAGTCACCCCTTAAAGGCTGTAAATAGTTTGTGGTTTCATCCTTGATTGAAAATTTGTGGAAAAGAGTCATTCATGAGGGTTGAGATTCAAGTTGTGTATTTAGCCTCATTTGGGAGGAGACAGTGTTTGTGACATATGGAGCATACAGATGGAGAGTGGATTATGAAGTGATTTGAGAATTTTCAATGGCTGTCTTAATGCTTTTCCATTCGAGTCCATCGTAACTAACATGAATTCAAGCTCACCTAACTTTCTACAGCAACCTTTCGAGCCTACAAAGGCTTATTGTTCAATGCTCAAAAGCTTTTGGGATGAAGTATTGCTTTAAACTGCAGTTTCTCCAGTATGATGTAAGCTCTACCGTGAAAGCAATACTGCATAATATCGACTGCGCACTGTGCAAGCACGGATCATGTGTCGCCGCTTCTTTTCAGACGTGCGCTTTCTCTCGTCTATTGCCAAGAAGCAGCCGACGGTTCTGCCTTTTTGAATGAAGTCGTCGGACTGCACCGAGGGGAAAGTGAGCAGTCAGTCAAAGCCACTCTAGTGGTCTAATAACAAAAGCAAATGTTACAATCCTGCGAGGCTGAGATTATAAATCATCTGATTTATGGTGACAGTGCAGAGTGGGAAAACTCCAAACATAAGCAAACGCTGAGCCGGCGCTGAGGGAAGCTGTACAGCACGGAAGACACTGTACAGGATCATAATGCGTGTGAAAAAACAGCAGCGAAAGTACAGGATCCCTACACCGAAACCTGCAGATAATCTATCTCTCTCCTCACTGCAACGACATAGCAGCATTGTCCTCTACCTGATAACCCAATTATCTCCATTGCACTGACTCAGTAAGAGATCACTGTCGGCACAAACACATTTAGGATGACAATCTACAATGCTCATAAACGACTGCAACCGGAAAAAAGACATAAGAATTCGATGAAGGGTACTTTTACGTGCTACTGTTAGCCGAAAGCTACTCTGTACCGTAGCGGCCTTCGCTGTTTTTGTATCCTCCATTAGTGCATCCCCTGACCTCAGTCCAGACACACGTTTACACACACGGGACTGGATTAGTAGGCTGTTGTTCTGGGGATGACCCTCGACCTACAAATCCTATTGAAAATGATCGCACTGTCACGCTGTCCCACATACGACACAAACTCCATATACGTTGGCTGCTTAAGTGTGCTTGTCACAGCGTGTGTGTTTCTGAGAGAAAGTGTGTTTGTGTCCAGGCAAAAACAAAAAACTAGACAGGAAGCAAAGATCAATGCTAT